CCCTCCTTTTTTCCCACCTCTATCTCTCCTATACAACCTGTAGCCCTCTATTCCTACCACCCAGTCATGAGCAGAGTCCCACCAGGTTTCAGTTAGTCCTACTAGGTCAAACTTACTGCTCACAAGCAAGAGTTCTAGTTCCTCCTGCTTGTTTCCCATGCTCCTGGCATTTGTATATATACACTTAATTCCCCTGGTGGCTGCTCCTGGAGCCCCCTTATACTGCTGTTTAATAAGTTCTTTGATACTTACCTGGGCTGATCATGGCTGGCTGGAAAACAAAAATTCTGTTACAGATTTTAGTACATAGACTTGTAGAAAAATTAAGTCCCTGCTCTGCTTAATTCACGCCTACTGGCTATTCATGGAGAGACTCTTGCAATCTGTACAAACTAAAAAGAACTAATCGGGTATACGAGATTCTTGGAAACCAGAGAACTTAAGATACTTGACTTCAGCGTGTTACAAAATAGGGTCAAAGAGTACATAGTATCCAGGTATTAGAATTCACTGTAGATTTAGGGGATTTAGGGGAATTAAGAATCTAGTAAGAGCAGCGTTTCATAATGAACTGCTCAATAAAGATGAGTAAATTTTGTGTTTGTTGTCACCATAAATAGGAAAGCGAGCATCCGTATGCTCCAGTAAGACTTGTAGTGGAAAACTAGGAGCTCCAAAATCATGTGTAGGTGCTACCTATACAGACTATATGAATCAACAGATCTTTCATAAAAATATATATGTATCAAAGAATAAAAAATAGAACAAAGAAGAGCCATTAATAACTGAACAGGCTTTGGTTGAGACTTGATTCCTTCTTGAAATCTGCCTTCAAAGGTAATAAAAAATGCAGTAGTGTTTTTAGGAAGGGAAGAAGAACCTATTAAACTAGCTGCGGATGCACAGACAGGAAAAATGTAAGCCTAGGCCCTAGTGGATTACAATAACTTACAAACATTGAGCCACTGACAGTTTGAGGTCTTTGTAATGTTATATAAGCTTGAACATATGTCAAAAGTGTGGTAAGATGCAAATATGACACCAATCTCTAAAAGACATTTGGGGGTAGGCCTTTTGGTTGTGTGTCTTTTTCAGCTATCTAAGGCTTCTGTTCATTTTGAACTGCCTTTAACATCCGTCCTACTAGTTGCCAAGAAACAATAACAAGTGTTACCACACATAAGACTCTGCCAGGTTACCCTATGAATCTTGTCACTCACTCTCAGTTTTAAAAATGCCTAATTAATTTAAGACTGCTGGGGGACAAACTGAGAAATGTTCTTGTCTGACAGCATAGTTATATGGAGGGGACTCATCAAGCTTTCTAAAGGAAAAGTAATTCAAATAAATCTATATATCTCTGCAAATTAATGTATAAATACAGAGGTTTCAACTTCATATCCAGTTAAGCAATGAAATAGACATCATCATCACCACTATTTATGTAGAAGGTGCTCCAAAACAGTTTGTCCCATAGTTGAGTCTCCACTTTTTAAATCATAACTTACTTCCTTTTGCAAGTGCAAAACTGTTTTGATGCATATTTGTCTGTGCTTGTTATCAATCACTAGGCTGTGAAAACATTCCCTTTCAACATTCCCTTTCAAGACAGTTTATAAGAAATGCATAATTCTCACTATGTTGGCTATAGCAGATGCACTGTTCTTCATTATTTTTCATTAATGAAAGTAAAGTATTTTTACTTTAACATTCAATGTTGATTTATAGCTGCTTAGTTTTCCAAGGATGCAATGGAACTATTCATGTATGGGAAGTTATGCTACTGCATATAGTGTTTTTAAGATCATGTGTATGATGAGCAGTTGTCCCACAAAGCTTGTAACTTGTTAAGAGTGACTTTCTGTGTGGACTTCCGAGTGATTTAAGTTCGTATGTGGCTTTATTTAAACACTTCAAAAAACAACTCTGAACAGATTCCTCCCTGACCTTCAAAATTTCTTTGTCTTTGCATATGTTAAAAATAAGTTGAGGGTTTATTCTATACATAAAAATAAGAAAATTAAACAGATATATAAACAAATATACATGTGTTTTATCTTATTCACAATTTAATGAATAAGTTTTAGGTCTACAGTACATTTAAACATTCTAATGTAGATATTTTCATGCTCAACTGCTGTCTTTAATAATGAATCATTATTTCTGCTAGAAATATGTGCAACCTAAGTCTAATACAATATTAGGATATAGAGTTACAAAGAAACAACTAGCTTTGTAAAGGTCTGACTAGTTTCATTAAACTTCCTGACAAAGAAAAGGCCCCTGACTACAATAAGTATCTTTCATATCATTTAATTCACATGATAACATTCTAGAATGAGAAAAATAATCGATATTGGGTGATAAGCTAGTTTAAAACTAGAAATAGAAGCAAGTGTTAACAAGGTAGGTGGTTTAAAGCAGCTTGCTTATAAAAGCACACTGAAATCATTTTTTCCACACTAAAACCGAGTAGACAGGCTACACAAAGCTATCATTTAAAATACAATCAATTGAAATTGGATAGATCCCAATTTTACATTCTAAGGTCTGAACTGGAGCTTTATTAAATGATTAAAGCCTTTGAAACTTCAGCAACATGACCATGTTGTTGATAGGGCTAGGTACTTTACAATGAGGCCCTGATCCTAACTGTGCTGTCAAATACCATTATGATAGAAATACAGCAGCAGGAGCTGCCACAGAGACATACACAATTAAAGTATCCCTTGTACAGTAACTAAGGACAAACCTTAGAAAACCCTTAACTCCTCATGAAGGTTTCAAGAAAGGAGAGATCATGATACTCCCCAGATATATCTAAACTAATGAACTGACCGTCAATAATGATGGGGGGGGCAGGGGGGGACGGAGCACTGCCCATCCATCACTCCAGGCCACTGCCGCCTCCCAGAAAGCTTGCACACAGCCGCCACCGCTGGCAGTCACCACCCTGCGCTGCCACCGCTCTACATCCAGCCCCACTTTGTCCTTGGAGCAACAGCAGTGAGGGGTGGTAGGTGGCGGCTGCTGCATGCAAGCGTCCCTGGGCACGGGGGGGCAGGGGAGGAAGCTTGCATACAGTGGCTGGCATTGCCACCCACCATCCTGTGCTGCCATCCCTTTGGGAATGAAGCAGGGTGGGATAGGGTGGGGTGGGCAGGACCTTGCACACAATAGCTGCCACCAACCACCCCACACCGCTGCTGCCTTCCAAGAGCAGGGGAGGAAGCTTGCCCCACTGTACCCCTCCGCCAGTACTCCATGCCACCACCGCCTCCAAGGAGCAAGGCTGGGGGGGGAGGGGAGCAAAGCCAGAAGCTCTGGCCTTGCCCCCACACTCTGTCCCTGCCATCATGGCAGCCCTCCGGCGTCCCACTCCATCCCCACGGAGAACTCCGATCGGTTGTTTCTGTAAGCATTGTGATTGGATGCTGGGACAACCAATCAGAGTGCTCCAAGAGCGTTATGGACAGACATACAGACACACAGACGGACGGACTAAGCCCTTTATATAGAATTAGCCCCTAGAACAGTTACATGTATTTCCAGATACCTTAAACTGTATGTACATGTAACTGTCAATGTTGTAATCCCCAAAAAGAAAACAAATGCAAGATCCAGAAACAAAACAACAATAATGTTGAAGTAAAGTTTTGATTGTATGCTGCCAATGCAGGAAGAAACAGAGTGAGAGGGAAAACTGGTACTGACAGGCGCAAGACAGGCTCCTGGAATTTTCCATTGGACTCACCCAGCCTGTGTCCCCTGGGCGACCCCAAGAGCTGTCAGTCAGGCTGACCTACTTTTCAGCCCTGCGCCTGC